ACGATATTTTCCATAAAATTATTAGTATAATATTAGAAATTATTATTAGCAATAGAACTCGTGGTGTAATTGATCGGATTAAGATATTCCAATGATTAATATACACTTTTAACAATCATTCTCAGTATTTCTTGTAAAAATTTTGCCTCAACAATTACCGTTATGAAGACGTGGGGTTTCATCTGTACTTTACATGCAAATATCTCTCATAAATTTGGTAGAGTACTCTGGTTTATGTGATATGTTTTCTTAATTGATCTCTCTTACTGTTTTCTAAATTCATTGAATATGCTGCTCAGATAACATTGTTCCTTGCGAATAATGACAATTTTAGAATGTTCAAACGATAACACAAACCTACAAAAAAAGAAATAGAAAAATAGGTGAACGTCACGTGTAGAACGTGAGAAACACTTAGAATGCAAAAGAAATAAAACTTTCGTTGACTTAAGTGATCGTTACACTGACGTTTTTTATTTAATATTTTCTGGTTTGATAAATTAAAAATTTGTTTCAATCTCATGTACTGTACAGTACTTCATTACCGCACAATCATTTAGAATTGCCACAATGCTATATTCTATGCACAATACACCTATGTTTTAATAAAGTATCACATTATCCAATTTAAGTTTTTAAAATCTGAAGATTTTAGTATTGAAAATTTTTACAGGTTATTTTAATGTATTATTTTTAGAATATATATTTTGTTGCATGATTTTTTTTTCATGCGCAGTTGTGCAATCATGCAATCATTAAGCTACACCTTACGTGATATCATAAAAATAATAGATTGACTGATACGCCGCTGATTATAGAATGACTAAAGAGTAACTTATTTTTGAAAAACTTACATTTTCTAACTGAAGAAAGTGTGGATAAAACTTTAACATTTCGAGCCTCCCCAAAAATGTATACATGTATATTGTTCTTTTCAGTAATTGATTCGAATTAGGTTTTATAGAAAATTTTATAATGAACAGTGATAAATATCTGTAAAAGTTTTTATCTAGACCACAGCTGATCAGTTTACTTAGTAATTGGGATGTAAGACATCCGTTATTCACGTGTATCCATAATTCATTTTCTGATATATTTTCGAAATGTATACTTTTAATTGTGGTTTAAATTTTCGTTCGAATCTTCACAGTAGAAACTGTAGTAAGCCGGATGGCTGAACGGATAAGGTGTCAGAGACAATCACACTGAAGTACCCGGGAACGAATCTAGACAGATTGAAAAGGTCCAGGAGTTTGTTGGGGATGGTCCATCCCAGATATGTCGGGCTCCATTCGTCACCATTCGGCAGTCGTAATGTGGGTCTGACCAAGCTCATGACGGGATTGAATAAAAAGGGTCCTCTTGGTGCCCATAGGGCAGAAAGATAAAACAAAAGTATAGATTGAATAATATGTAGCTAATTTGAACAATGAGAAAGTGAGCCCTCTGGAAAATTTATATAATTTTCTTAAAACGAATTGTCTCTTAATCCAAATGCCATCTTTCTAGAAATTCGGATTAACGAAGTTTTCTGGTATAGTTAATTAATTAATCAATTTGTGGCATTACACGACGTGGTGACATATTTATGCAATAAATGACGTTGTTTGACATCATTATAACGTGCGATGATAATGTATAATGGCAAATCCTTCCAACGTAGATAATTCAAAAACGTAAACGTCGAAGTGCCAGTCTGGAGACATAACCTATCTAACAATATAAACGAAAGTAAATATAATATTTTACTAATATTTTTATTCACAAAATTACTTATTAATTTAAATCTTATTGGGTTAATTCTACTTGTTAACATTACGAAACAAGAATAAAGGGGGTGTTTAAACAAAGATTTTTTAAATCAAAGCACATCGTTTTTAAATTGATTATTATAAAATAAATTATTTTATAATTGTTTTCGTAATTTGTATTATGTAAATAAATATTCAATTTAATAACTGCAACCTTTCTAAATTAAATTATTAAGGGATAAACATTTTAAACTCAAGAAATGATAAATTTAATCTATTTCGTTTATAAATAAGTAATTTAGATAAAGTGTAAATAAATATTTACATTTGTTTACTTTTCTTAATAAACAATTTACATTTATTCAGTAAAAAAATACAAAATTAAAATTTTATAAGATTATTTAGGGACATCCTTTTATGTTGTAAATTTTTCCAATCAATCTTCATATAATTAAAATGCGAAAATTGCTATTTATAAATTCTTTGGAGAATTCCAGAGATAATTATTATAGTAATTTCATTTAAAATAAATTAAACATTTTAAATAATAGAAAATTTGTTTTGAATAAACGTGAAAAATATAAACGTATTTATGTAATATTTGTGTTATTTTTATTCACAAGCTTAACTTTTATTATAAACAATTTATACAGTATATAATTCTTATAACAATCTTTTCAAAGGTCAAGAGACACTTTTCTACTCACTCATTTGAGGATTACGATATATTTTAAAACAAAAACCATATTAAAAATTGTATAATATTTTTAAATAATACATTTTGACAGGATTTTTAAACGAAAAAAATGTAATGAAGTGAATAATTTGTTACAATATTTTTGAGTTCTGCATCAAATGGTTCTGCCGTTACTCATGTGATAAGGCCTATATATTATTTACAAATAAAGCATATATTAAACAAAAAAAATATATATATAGGCCTATATATTTACAAAGTTTATTATATATATATATATATATATATATATATAATAAACTTTGTAAATATATAGGCCTATANTTTTAATTCTTACCTTTTCAATTTAAATACTCATTTTAATGGGTAATTTATAGCTAGTCATTTTAGTTTATTGCTTACTTTAATAAATCCCTTTGAAATTGAGTTTTGTAGAAATTATTTACGAATAATTTGAAAAAATCGAGTGTGATTTTAAAATATTTCATAAATTTCAATAATTAAAGAACTAACTTTAACGACTTTCCGCCAAGACTATTTTATATATTTAAAAACCTACAATATTTAAAAATAAAAATTTATAATATACATTATATATAATTTATTCTTTCATTTTCATTGATTAATTACCGTAATCTTTATATTATTTACTTATTGAAACAGAATAAATTTAATTATGTCATTTAACCAATTATCCGAACTTATTACCCTTTTTTTAATTTTTTCTGCTAAGATAAACTCTAAATTTAAATTTTAAAGCAATATTTAAGCATTTCTTACATATATAAAAATCTGTACAAATTAATGTAAAATTACATTTAAAATCGATAAAATTGTTATAAATATAAATATAAGCAACTATATCTGAATATTTTTAGTTTTATTCTCTAAAAATGTAAAATAAAATAAATTCTCAAAATTTCCATAATTACTTATAAAACAAAATGAATAAATCTGAAGATTTTAAATTTAATTATATTAAATAAAAATTCTAAAAATAATTTTGTATTTCTGGATATAAAAGAAAATAAATCAATTGCATAATCATATCGGAATTTAACACAAAAAATTCAATTTTGATGATATCAAAAATGACGATAGATCTTAAGGCTTCAGTAACTGTTCTAATGCATATCTTTGTTGGTATTTTGTAGGAAGTGGACCGAAACAACAGTATTTTCGCGTCAAGCCCCAAGATAGAGAAGCAGTCGAAGGAGAAACGGTCGAGTTTCAATGTCATGTCGAAAACGTAGCTGGAGATGTCCAGTGGAGCAAAGATGGATTTCTACTTGGTAAGTCGGTTGATTGTACTTTTTAGAGCATCAGCATTCCATATCAAAAACAATATTCCTTCTACTGAAAATACAATATATACACGTTTTATATCTTTCTTATTACAATCAATTTAGATTTCACATGTAAAGAAGTTAAATATTATTTAATATTTTCGATTGTTTTTAAAATTGCATATAAAAAATCTAGTTATTTGACAATACATTTATTTAAATACTTCTTTAATTACTTATTTTATATATATATAATAATTTTAATTAGCAAGATCTAGTTATATCTGCGTAGTAATATATATATA